CCCAGAGCTGCCCAGCCAGTTCCTGCATCCCTTGGGATGCAGCGATACCCAGTGCTGCGTGACTGGTTCATGCATCCAGAGGGATGCAGCAGTGCTCAGTGCTGGTTCCCAGTAAGGAGCCCCAAGTGTGGCAGCCATGGGGAGCCCCCCAGGATGGGTTTTCCTCCCTGTGTGCGATGCCCTCCATGCCTGCCCTCAGTCCCCTCTCTCCACAGGACCGCCTGCCCATCACATTTGAATTCCACCGGGTCCAGGAGCGAGGTAAGGGGTGGGATGCTGTATCAGGGGGGATGCTGCAGGGTGTGGAGGATGCAGCGGGTGGGCAGTGCTGTGTTTCTTATTGCAGGGGGGCTGCTGGTGGGCTTCCCAGAAAACCCTCCTGCCAGCCAGATCCTGCACGGCCCTGAGCTGCAGTACTACGTCCAGTGCTTCCAGAAGTCTGGCTTCAGGTGGGGGCAGGAGCCTGCAGGGCTGGTGCGGTACCCCCCCTGCAGAAGGGGAGCCCCTAAACCCGCCTTGGCCTTGCTTTATAAACTCCAAGAAGGTGCAAGTCTGCCAGGGGAAGGCTGCTTTATCCTTCGAGACACTTCCCGTGCCATGGGCAATGGGATGTTCCCTCTCGTGGTGATGGCAGGAGCTAAATCTCAGCATCTCCACTCTGTTCTCTCTCTCAGTGGCCCCTTGAACTGGTACCGTAACATGCGACCCAACTGGCGCTGGGCCCTCTCTGCCAAGGACAGGAAGGTGAGGGCTGATCCTGCCCTGCGGGGGCATTTGCAGACCCAGCACCTTCCCCACCTTGGCATCCGTGTTCCCTGTAGATCACGATGCCAGCGCTGATGGTCACAGCCGGGAAGGATGTGGTGCTGCATCCCAGCATGAGCAAGGGCATGGAGGAGTGGGTAAGTCAATATAGCCCCAGACCAGCCCAGTCCTGCCTCTGCTTGTGATCAACTTCCATAAGATCCCACTGCGGGAGATGGGCTGGATTTGATCCAGATACAGGGACATCACTTGATTAAAGGGAACAGGCTGATATGGGATGCTGAGGGGGATATTTACCTTCTCCCCTGCCTGCAGCAGACAGAAGGGGATTTGCTCTTGCCAAAATAAAGCGGTGGGGATGTGGGGACAGCCTTGAGGGGTCTCCTGGTACCCCAGTTCTGGCACAAACGACCCCCTCTTACTCTCATCCATCCCTCCCAAGATCCCACAGCTGCACCGGGCGCACATTGAGGAGTGCGGGCACTGGACGCAGATGGAGAGGTACCACAGTTGGCAAGCACAGCCCTGCTCCACTGGAGCTGGGCACCCCTGTATCCCGGGGGATGCCGAATCCTACCCCAGCTCTGTGCCATCCCCCCAGGCCAGCGGTGCTGAACAGGATCCTGGTGGAGTGGCTGGAGGGGCTCCCCCCAGATCCTTCCCTTCCCAAGATCTCCAGGCTGTGAGCCCTGCCCTGTGCCTTCCCTCCTCCCCGGGCTGATTTTGCCTTTAGGGTTAGATTTTTGCCTTTAGGGTTGGATTTTTGCCTTTAGGTATTGTTGGGGTGTCGATGGGTGGAAGTGATGGGTGAGTCAGGGCTGGGAGGAGGGTGGGACAAAGCATCACCCCTGCTTTGTGCAGCTAGAAGATTCGTTGTGAGCTCTCATGGGGGTGTTGGGAGATGGTTTGGGCCTGGACCCATCCTCATGCCATGGCAGGGGCTGTGTTGGGGCTGCCCCATCACCCCAACCCCAGCCCTGGGGCTTCCCTTGCACAGGGGTTTGGATGGAGGGTCCCGGTTGTGGCTGGGGTTTCAATGCGGAGGGGAGGTTTTAGTGCACTAAGAATCATGAATTCTGCCTCAGAAATCACCTTTTGCCTTGTAACATTGACCAATAAAGCACAAAGTGACCTGTGGTCCTTGGGTACAGGTTCTTGCAGCATCTCCCTGCCTCTTGCCCACTTCCCCAGGGCCCATCCCCGTGGTGTCAGGGCTCAGCCATTGCTTGCAGCCACCTTCCCCTGCACTCCCAGCCCTTCTCCTGGCCTCAACAGCCGTTATAAACAGACATCCAGGACACCATAAGGATTTGGGCAAACACGCTTGGTATTTCCCTCTCAAAATTCTCCCCAGCCCTCAGCTATTTTCAGCTGGGGCTTTGCGGTTTGTCTGTCTGCATCCCTTTTCCCAGCCCATCCCTGCTCTGCCAGCAAGCCCACGGGAATGTTTTGCATCTGGATCCATCCCTGAAAAAGGAGCTGTGTGGATTCTGGGGAGGGGGGAAGAGGAAAACTCCATCCCTGGGTGGGCAGCAAGAGGTTTAAACCCACTCCCTCCAATCTGGGAGTTACCCTGAACTCGGCCTGTTGTCCTCTCCGGTTTCCTGGCAGGGGAGGCAGTCTCAGAAGCTGGTTTTGGAGCTGCTTTGGCCTCTGCTAATGGTATATAAAATCCAAGAGCATCATCCCCAGGCAACTGGGAGCTGTGGCCAAGCACCACCCTGAGCCCTGCCTGGAAAACCAGGAAGGAGCTGCCAGAGCTGCCTCTCCCATGGCACCAGAAGCTGGGTGAGTGGTTTTAATAGGTGTCTGCAGGCTTCTGCCAGCCCCCTGCACCCAGCCCCTGGCAGGGGCCTCACCTGTGTGTTTCCACCCTGCTCTCAGGGATGGAAACACACAGATCCTGGGAATGATGTGGGGAGGGAAGGCACCTGCAGAGAGCTCCCCAGCCCCCTTCCCTCCTTGCACATCATGTTGTACCCCTACACAGCTACAGCCGGCCATTGCTTCTGCTCCAACAGCCCCTTCTCCACATTCCCACCCCATGTCAGCTCCATGCTCCCCATCCTGCAGCCTAGAATGACTTTTCCAGCTCCCATCCTGACCCTGGCTAGCTGTGTCCTTGGCCCCACAGGTGCCTGCATCCCCAGTGCCCCATGCATGTGCATCCCCAGCAACCTGGGTGCATGTGCCCTTGGTCTCTTGGGTCGATGCAGCCCCAGTCCCCATGGGTGCCTGTGGCCTCAGTCCCTGTGTGCACACACCTCCCATCCTGGGATGTACATGGCTTTGAGTGCACACAGCCTTGGCACATTTCGGCAAGCTCTGATTGATGTCCATGCAGACTGGAGGTTTGGAGGTGGCCCAGGGTGACTGATTGGGCTGGAGACATCCCATCACCTGCAGAGTAGGGACCCAGGAAACAGCAGAGCCAGAGGAGATTTAGGCTTTGATTCTGGGAGGAGGCGGCCAGAGCAATGCAAACACCATCCGAAGAGATGCAAAGTCCCTCCCTGGTTTCCTCTGGGGCATCACTCTGTCTCCCAGAGGGTTTATTTCTAGGAGAAATGCTCCAGCCATAAACATGAGCAATGGCACCGGCTGCTGCTGTTTAACAGCACCCGCGGGGCTGGCCCCCGCACAATGGATGGGGTCTGAGATGCAGAAATAAATCTGGCCGCAGAACAAGCTCCTCCAGGCAGTGTCTGTTCACAGCTTGAAGCTGCTCACAGTGGTCTTGGACGCAGCAGAGGGAAAGGGACTGCATCCCTTGGGATGCTGCAGGGCAGGGTACTGTCAAAACCCTGCCCAGGGTGGATGTGCAGGATGCACAATGGCACTATCCCACTCCTTTCACAACTCTCTGATGTGAAAAGAAAGAAGAAAATGCCTGGAAAACCTCAGGGTGGGTTTCAAACCACAGATCCCAGAAGCAGACCCTAGGAAGAAAGGATCTCCCAAAGGCATTAGGGGAAGCTCCTGGAGGTCCCAGGGCTGCTTGCAAAAGGCTGGGCTTATTTTGAGGAGATGCTTGAAGAGAAACTGAGAAACCCAACCTGGAGCCATCCTGGCCAGCAGCACCATGGAATGGTTTGGGTTGGAAAGGACCTTAAAGCTCGTCTAGTTCCAACTAGCACTAGTTTCCCCAACTTCCATGGGCAGGGACACCTTCCACTAGACCAGGTTGCTCCAAACTCCACCCAACCTGGCCTTGAACACTGCCAGGGATGGGGCAGCCACAGCTTCTTTGGACAACCTGTGCCAGGGCCTCATCAACCTCACAGGGAAGAACTTCCTCAGATCTCATCTCAGTCTCCCCTCTGTCAGGTTAAAGCCATTCCTCCTTGTCCTGTCCCTACAGGCCCTTGTCAAAAGCCCCTCTCCAGGTTTCTTGTCAGCCCCTTTAGGCTCTAAGGCTCCAGCCTTCGGCTCCAGCTTTCATCTCCATCCAGCTGTGATGTTCCAGTCCTGACCACCTGAGTGACAGCAGCAGCACTTGTCTAGGACCTGGCCATGAGGGTGGGTATGCAAAGCTGCTTGTGGGGTGTTTGCAAGGCGATGCACAGCTCAACCCCCCACATCTCCTATTCTGACACCACTATTGCAATGGGCATACCCCCTTCCTTGCACTGCACTCAGCAGTGCGGCAATGAGGGACATGATAGGTCCCTCCTGTCCCTCTGACTCCACTGGGCTCTCTGCAATGGCTGTGATGAGTCTTCACTGGGAAATGTCTGCTGGATGGTGTGCACAAGGTGCAGGGTGTGCACACGGGCTGCAGGGTGCAGGTACAGGTGTACATCCAGATTGCAGGGTGCAGGGAGCAGAGTGCAAGGTGCAAGGTGAAGAAGGGTGCAGGGTGAACACATGGGGTGCATGATGCAGGTAATGGGGTGCAGCGCTCACACACACAGGGCACAGGCAGAGGTGACCCTGCCCCATGCGTGCAGTGGGTGGGCTGGAAAAACCACACTGCTGGTCTCCCCCTGCCCCATAGGGTTTGTGCGCAGGGGGGCAGGATTACACCCAGCTGCGGGTCGCTGGCACCCACCAAGCTTGATGGCACAAGTTAAACTTCAACCCAGCCCATCCCTGGACTCTGGGATGGTTCCAGCTCTGGCTTGGGGATGCTGGGTTAATATTTCAGCCCTGCTGGGACTGAAACCACCCTGTTTGCTGGGTACTAAGGGCAAAGGTCCCTACGGAGCCAAGATGCCTTTGCATGGTTCAAGCGAGAGCTCAAACTGCAGTATCAACACCCCCAAGGGACCCAAACCCACCCCAGCAGGAGGGTGGCACAATGTGACCAGCTCCACTTGTCCCTTGGACCAAAAAACTCCTGGAAATGTGCTGGTTTACTCTGCTTTTAATTGGTTTTTCCCTCAAAGACCACGAGGCACCCATGGGTGGTGGCAGCAGGGGTGCCAAGCTGGAGGGAGGACACAGTGGGATTCTGGCTGTGCTGAATGGTCAGGATTAAAGGACAATGTTTCTCTGCTCCCATACAGGCTCCAGCTCCAGCCCTGTCCCCCCCTCCTCCAGAGGCTGTTTCAGAAAGGAAGCAATTTACTTGGAAAAGAGAAAAGAGGAAAAAAGGCCCTTGGAGATAGAGAAATAAAGAATAAAAGCTTCCCATAATTAAATTTCAACTGTTTTATATTTAAACAGAGAAGAAAGAAGACCAAAAAAAGCCCCACCTGATTTCTGCCTGGCCTGAGACAATGCTCAAATAGCTCTTGAGATCAGGCACTCAAACAGCTTCACTCCTGCCCCAGTTTCCCCATTGCTGTAGGGCAGGGAGCAGCTCTTGGAGCCCTTCAAGTGCAGGGAGGAGCACAACAGGCAGGGGAGAATTGGGAAGGCTCCAGCCACAAGCCAAATGTTTGGGCAAACCCCATCTCCACACTCCTGCACTGTCTGGGAGGCAGAGCCTTGTGTGTCCACCCCTCCAGCACTGCGGCAAGGCAGGGCCCCTGAAGTCTGGGATGCACTGCCGTTTGGGAATGCACTGCCATTTGGGAATGCAGTGCAACTTGGGAATGCACTGTACTTTGGGAATGCGTTGCAGTTTGGTGGTACATCAGCCATTTCTGGCGCAGATGAAACTAGTGCAGAGAGTAGCAGCAAAGGCAGGAAATCCCATTGTGATCCAGCTGCTGGGCCAGCTCAACACCAGGAGCTGCAGAGGTGCCAGTGAGGGTGGAGGAGAGCTCCCATCCCCATTTGGGCTGTGTCAGAGAACCCCAACCAGGCCACATCCACCTATAACCTGGCATCACCTTGGCTGTGTTGGGGTCTGCCCCGTGCCTGCCCTGTGCAAACTGCACACCCTGGCGAAGCAAATCCAACCAAAGCATTCACTGGCATCATGTTCTCATGATTTATCGTAGAATCATAGAATGATTTGGGTTGGAAATGACCTTAAAGCTCATCTAGTTCCAACCCCCTGTCATGGGCAGGGACACCTTCCACTAGACCAGGTTGCTCCAAGCCCTGTGTCCAACCTGGCCTTGAACACTGCCAGGGATGGGGCAGCCACAGCTTCTCTCGTCAGCCTGTGCCAGCGCCTCAGCACCCTCACAGGGAAGAACTTCCTTAGATCTCATCTCAGTCTCTTCTCTGTCAGTTTAAAGCCATTCCCCCTTGTCCTGTCCCTACAGGCCCTTGTCAAAGACCCCTCTCCAGC